AGAACACAAACTATAAAAGAAATTATAATTATAAGAAATTAATTTTAAATATACCTTTAAATGATAGGCGAAACTTTCTTGGCCATCTAGTATTGTTGGTCTGTAAATGTCTTGTCCAGTTTTAATTATAGCAGGAATAAGTATGGCATTCAGATTTATAATTAAGAGGTAATTTTTTGAATCTAAAATGTCTATATAAATAAGAAAACAAATCAAAAAATACAAAACAAACCTTCATTTAAGTTAGATGACTGTAATAAATTGAAAAGTGTGCGAGATTTTTTATCTTTTATATCTCTATGGTATATATTTTTTATAAAGGTGTCAAATATCGTCCACTTGGAAAATAATAGTGTGTTTCGTTTTGGATGCAATTTTTCAAAATCTAATTTAATCTGAAAATTAAGTTATTTTAATGATTTTATACATTTTGCTACAACTAAGAAACAACTTACCAGTGCTATCCACTTTTCAATCACTATATCGTTTGGGGAGTAGATGTTTTTTAACCATTCATAATCGCTAAATGTATTTATGTCAAACGTTTCTTCATCAGTATCTGCTTCGTTAGAGACATCAGTAACGTTTCTCGTTTTTCTTTTCTGTCCGATAGAAAGCGAATGCTTATACTTCTTTCGAAGGGAATAATATTTTTCTATTAGTTTTCCCCGTTGTTTTTTGGTACCCAAATACGTTACCTGAAAGGCACATGAAATTAAAAACATAAAAAATCATGTACTGGTAGTTTTAATTTGGAAACGTACCTCCAATTCTAATGGGAATAGGTTTTTTATTTCCTTTGCGACATTTTGGCACAATTGGCGATCTACAGATGTGTCACTGGCTAACCAATCCTCCACGATTATCGTGGTAAGGATATTTCGATTTTTCGAACTTAATCCACTAACTTTATATTCTGATAAAATTAACTGACCACTAACCGATTTTAATAAGAGATTTTCTAACTTCTAAAATAAATACATCTATGATTTAGGAAATAAACTGGAATATAAAACAACTTACAAAGATCGGTTGATTTTCAGGATTACCATTTCCATCTGTATCTATTATATTAGCATTTATCCAATTATTTACTGTTGATGATGATGAATTCGATGCAGTAATTGTACTTGCTAGGGGTGTTGTTAATCCCTATAAAAAGCATTTAAAGAAAATAAACTTATAGATTGTGGCATGATGATGGCACTTATAGATTATAGCTGTCAACTTACGTTGAGTTGTTTCCATACAAAAAGCTTTTTTCTAAATTTAATTCGTAGACCGAATTGTTCTGCAGGAATTAAATGATCAATATCGTTGATGGTCAGTTCTGCAAGAACGTCGATGTCTATTCCTTTGGCTGTAACATAACACATACCATATACAGAGCTGCCTTTAAAACAGTTATACAACTACAAGTAACATGTCTGCCGTCAAAAATTCGGTCCGTCGATAATCCGGATTCAATACCGATGAAAAAAAAAATTTATTTCTCTTTTTCTGATTGTACATACAAAAGACAAAGTACAGTGATTCCCAGATAACGCGTTTTCATACTATGCAATTTCATGTCTCTGTATAACGTGTTTTCTCCCATATAACGCGGGGATTTCCCACGTTCTGTGAAATTTATAACGATATAATGAAATTATAATAAGTTAATATTAATTAATGGTTTTATTTATCTATTTATCAATTATTTAACCACAAAAGTCCATTATTTTTGGTTCTTTTCGAAAATCCGGACATTTTGATAATACGGACAGGGTCCGGTCACAATTAAGCCGGATTATCGACGCTCTATTGTATATGTATAACAAAATAATTGAAAACATAGTTAAATACTTGCCTTGAAAATCTGGAATTAATACGTGTAATTCCCACTGCTGTAACAAAGTAGTTACAGTATCTTCAACTTGCACATCCATTTTTATTTCTTACCAAATCGTAAAAACACTCCGAATACCTGAACACGTTAATGACGACTTGTGACGACTGAGAGTACCACAAAACGTATTAATATTAGTGGACTTCCCTCTAACAAAACAAGAGTACAGTCTTACAGGTTTGTAACCGTAATAATGAAGAAAGTTTGTAACTGTAAGTTGGTAGCGAATCCTCAAAAACAGATGCTTTATCGATCGTTTTCGATGATGAAAAAGCAATGTTTGTATTAAGAAATATTTTCTATAAACGATCGATGTAACGATGAAAACAGGTAGACAAAACGACTAAAATACATTTAAATAAAGTATTTAATAATAGTACATTTGTCCATTTAGGTAAAATATTTCATTGTTAAATGTATATAGAAATTCAGACTAGAACAAAATAAACAAAAATACCAAATACTTTAGGTAACTAAACTACTCAACAACTAGACTTATCAACTAGTTTCCACGATGTAGTTTCTTTTTCTAAAAATTAGTTATATCACCTCAGTAAATAGATAAATTAACTATCATAAATTTGACTAATTAGAATTGTATATGTCAGCTAAATTACGTTAGGTAAATGAATAAATTTTCTAGCATAAATGACTATTTGTCTAACAACTAAATTGATTTAGTTCAATTTTCCATATCATTTTTCTCAGTGTATTGTAAGAACTTACAAGGATTAGAAGTTTGGGGTAGAAAATATATTTTCGCTAATAACTTTCGTACTCCTACAGAAAAAGGATTTTTATCCTTATTCTATTTAAATAACACAAAAGATTGGATAATTATATAAATATTTATTAATAATGAGTTAAAAAGCAACTGAAAATGGTTAAGTATCAAAAATTGTATTCTACATTGTTAGAATCCTCTGGTACGTTTGGACTGAGGGTAATAAGTACAATGTTCAAAGCAGATAACATATTCGTTTTGGCATCAAAGTCTGGTAAACCGACTTTTGCTCATATGAAAAATTGGCTACAAAATGTCTATTTCCCAAACACCGGACAAAATCATTACTATTACTGGATTCTTGGAGTGGCCACTGCCCTGAAATTATTAGTAAAGTAACTCCATCGGATGTTAAGTTTAAATATTTGTCTATACCTGCCTCTATTTGGTTTTAGAATATGGAAAAATTTCATTAGAAGATTTTCTGATCAAGTTATTCTCTACCAGTACGATGTCAATTTGCATCAGCGAGATAACATTTTAAAATTGCAATCTTTAACGCATAACCAGTTGTCTCCCCCACGATTTATTAATGTTTTTAAATACGCCTGGTTTACATCTGGAAATCTGAACAGTTTGAAAATCCCGTGGAGGTTTGCTTTTCCAATGAAAAACCTACGTGCGATATCTGTGGAGATATAGCTGTTATAACTTGTGCATGGTGTAAACAATCGTTGTGTTTAAAACATTTTTTCCATGCTTTTCATTATTGCCAACAATATATTGAATAACAAAAGTAAAAATAAAGAAATTAAATTAATAATGTAGAATACAATTTGTGATAGTCAACCATTGTTTTGTCAGTTACTTTTTAACTCATTATTATTAGGTTTGTTCGAGCAGCGGCAAAACCAATCTGCAAATTGGGAGACGCATGCGCAGTATGGTAACGGTGTTCGAGCAGTAAATAAATTTTTTCGACTACCAGTCGTGTGTTCGATCAGAATTTAGGATCAGTTGGGTACTGGTTGGGTATAGTTTTTACAATTTGCTGACTTTCGAAAAATTGTTGACGGATTGTGTACTGTCATGCGCAGTGGATACTTTGCGAGTTTGTTGGTAATAAACGTAGCACGTCGAGAGGGCGACACAATCGATTTATATTTGTAAACACAATATCCGCTTTATTAATCTGTAATTGTTGTTAACACGTTCTTAAGTACCTAGTATAAATCAGAGTATAAATAATCATGTTCGATATTTCGTCGTCAAGTGAAGATGTGCCTTTAGTAAATTTTGAGTCAAGTGATGATGACCAGAGCCGCGATGTTTCGGGCTGTTGATGTCACCATCTGTATAGAGTAGCGAACGGGTTATAGCGTAGTAGTAACATGCTGCTATCTAGCACATCGATGTGCCGCAACGTAACGATACTGGTTGAATACTGGCCCATGTAAAATTTCTAAATTTCTCTGCGGTGCAGCATTCAATACGTGTTTGGGCGATTGTTCTACTAAAACTCAACCAGTGGCGTGGTATACTATATGTGGCGTGATGTGGTCCATGTGGCCCGAGTCTCTACCGTAAGGCGACGAGTCGGCAATGAGTTGCCCGACAACGTCGCTGCTCTGATGATGACCTAGAAGGTGAATTACTTGATACACCAGTGCGAATAAGGCCAAAACATGAAGAGTACTTCGAAATAACAGTACAACAGTATAGCGACTCAGAATTTATGGAACATTTTCGTTTGAGTAGAGTAGTTGCTGAAGATCTAGCAAATCGATTTAAAGCCAGCCAGTATTATAATTATCAAGCCGGAGGAAATGGAAAATTAACAGAAAAACAACATATATTAATATTTCTGTGGTTTGCTGGTCATCAGACGGCTTCTTTCCGAGATGTAGCTGATAGATTTAATATTAGTATAAGTTCCCTACAAACTGTAATCCAGCGAACAGTGTATTTTATAAGCAACCTATCAGACGAAGTAATACAATGGCCATATACAATGTTTTCAAATTTTTACTGTTCGAGCTGTGACAAATATCGTACTAGTTCGCAATTAATCGTTACGTGCGCATGCGCATTCATGAATGCACTAATTTGTCACAAACTAATACCTAATTCTCTGCTCGAACAAACCTAATAAATATTTATATAATTATCCTAACTTTTGTGTTATTTAAATAGAATAAGGATAAAAAAGCTTTTTCTGTAGGAGTATGAAAGTTATTAGCGAAAATATATTTCCCACATTATTTTTCTTAGTGTAAAATCGACAAACAATTTTCGCAAAAAAGAATAATTTTTGGGGTGGTTAGGGTAGTTAACCCCAGCCACCCCTTAATTAAATAATTTACATCTAATTAATGGTTTTCTTCAAAATATTGTTCAAAAGTGTAACAGTTTATCGCATTATTCTTAAGGAAAGGGGTTATCTATTATACCCCGTAACTTTGCAGGGGATGGTCAGAGGCAAATAAGAAAAAACACGTCATTAATATTTTTAAACGGGTAGTTTTTAAAATATTCCAAGAAACTAGGGGTAGTTTACCCCTTGAAGCTCTCAGATATATGTGTGAGATATCAATGGAAAGCTCTTTGAAAATGAATACCAGTTTACATTTACCACATTTCGATAGCTATTTTCGTTTTCAGCCTATAAGCGAATATATATATTTCGCCCCGATTTCCAACCCTTATAGCTCGCCCCAGGGGCTTTATTAGCACGTATAAAAAAATACGTAAACCTTATTTTTGGCCATACTATCGCTGTACCAAAAATTGAGTTTAATATTATTTCCAATCGATTTAAAATTAAAAATCGCGTAATTTAAGTCCAAACACGACGAGTCTATCTCAATTAGTCTCAAATCTATGCTAAATTAAATAAATAAGAAAATCCAAGTTAAATTTTTATTATTAAATTAAGTCTTCATTAATTTTTCAACAAATTGAGCTGAAATCATTTTTAATCGATTTAAAATTAAAATCCGAGTAATTTAAGTCCAAACACCATGGTTCCATCTCAAATAGGTCCAAATATACACAAAAATTATAAAATCCAAAATGGCGGCTGTCATTGTCATTTTTGAGGTTACGTTATTTAATCCAAAGTATAGGTTGTTGGGTATCAAATTAAAGCATTTTTCATGCTTATTACGATTTTGATATGTCTGGATTTTTGTATTTTAATTAAAGATGGCCGAACACAAAATGGTTACTACTAAAAGTACATTTGATAATATAGGTTGTGACGCATCAAATCAAGATGAAATTGTCTGATTTGTATGAAGATCGGGATCTAATTGATTCATTTTTGGTTAAAACATTTTTAATTTTTAATATTCCAAAAAGAGGAATGAAACCATTTTTGATCGATTTAAAATTAAAAATCGAGTAATTTGAGTCCAAACACGACGAGTCTATCTCAATTAGTCTCAAATCTATGCTGAATTAAATAAATAAGAAAATCCAAGATGGCGGCTGTCATTGTCATTTTTAAGGTTACGTTATTTAATCCAAAGTATAGGTTGTTGGGTATCAAATTAAAGCATTTTTCATGCTTATTACGATTTTGATATTATTAAATTTAACAAACAATAATTGAGAAACAAAATGGCGGTTTTTTCTTATTTCTATAATTTATATGCTTGTTGGATTATAAAATTGAACAAATTTCGATCATTTATATATTTATTTTTAAACAATTTTTAAGTATAAACTAAAGTTTCTTTTTAATAAATAAAATTAAAGATGGCGGCTGTCAATGTCAGTTTTAAGTTAACGTCATTGAAGCCAAAGTATGGGTTGTTGGGTATCAAATTAAAGGATTTTTGATTATTTTTACGATTTTCATCAAATTTGTAATTTATTGGTTGAAATTGATTTCTAAATATTCCAAAAAATTTAGTGAAAATAGTGAAACACGATGGTTTTATCTCAAATAGTCTCGAATATATGCAAAATTTAAAAGAAATAAATTCTAAGATGCCGGCTGTCAATGTCATTTTTGAGATTATGTTTTTATCCCAAAATATGGGTTGTTGGGTATCAAATTAAAGCATTTTTCTCGTTCATTATGATTTTAACATTTTTATAATTTAAAAAATTTATTGAAAAACAATATGGCGAATTTTATTTTTTTTAATTAATATGGGTTGTTGGGTATCAAATTAAAGCATTTTTCTTGCTTATTGAGATTTTAACATTTTTGAGATTTAAAAAAAATATTCAACAACAAAATGGCGCAAAATGAATAACAATTAAAACTAGAACTAACACTAGACTTAGAACTAGAAACATTCGGGTTTAGCCGCACGTCTCTCGAGACGGCTAAACCCGAATGATTCTAGTTCTAGGTCTTGTGTTAGTTCTAGTATTGCACTAGCACAATCACTAGAACTAACACTAGACCTAGAACTGAAAATATTCGTGAATGTGTAAATGATAATCGTACTTTAACGATGAAAGATTTTATTTATGTTTTTAAGTTTCTACCGGTTTCGGCGTGTTAATGCCATCCTCAGGAAACCACGTTATACGATTTTATGTTTGCTCTTTATCATATTACTTTTATTTAAAATCCATTAAAATGAATCCAAACACGACCTAAATAGGTTAATACACTTCCCGAGATATTTCGAATTTTATTATTAATTTTATTACTAATTTTATTATTTAATAGCCAAGATATGATAATTTTTAAAAATCAAGATGGCCGAAACCACAACTGTCAATTAGCGCCATCTACATCTTTAAATGTAAATTTTATAATGGGTATAAAGTGTGATACATCAAATTAGGTTAAAATTTCCTGCTCTCTATGATTATTTTATTCGTTTTGGTGATTTTAAACATTTTTAATAACTTTAGAATTTACTTTTACTTTATTAATCATAAAAAAATTAAATTTGGTGATATTTTTAATCTTCGTGAAAAATCCTTTAAAATAAATCCAAAGACGACCTATTCAATTAATATATTACCGGAAATACTACGAATATAATTCAAGATAAAATTCAAGATGGCCGAAATCAAAACTGTCAATTAGCGCCCTCTTTATCTTTAGACGTAAATTTTATGATGGATATAAAGTGTGATACATCAAATTAGGTTAAAATTTCCTGCTCTTTATAAATATTCCATTCTAATTAATATAAATTAACTTTAAATTAACACTTATTTGAAATTATCAACTTGACAAGTTTGAGAACCATTTAAAATTAAAAAAAAACAGCCAATATTAACAAATAGTTTCATTAATAAAACAAAAGCATCACCATCAACTGATTTTTTTGCCAACTTAAGCTCTAATTTAACCTTTACCTGATTAATTTATTCGAATGTGACACATCAACATGATATTCGGAGTAATAAACAACTAACTTATTAAACGTATCAAATATAACGTTGAACATCAAAAATAGGAGAGAAATTTTTGGATCGTTATAACCCAGAAATACATTTGAGTTAAGATTTCTTTATTTTTCTTTTATTGCGTACAAAATCTATCAAAACACTTACCTTGTTATCCCAGGAAATGATTTACACTACATTTTGAACTCATCACGTTGATTTACACAGATTTTAATCGAATTTAAACCGTATTTCACCAAAAAGTGTTAATTAATGATGCAATACAAACAAACCGTTGATATCTAACTTACCGACGCGACTTGTCATTTGATTATTAACAAAGAAGGATGTTTTTTAGATTTTTATAAATTACACTTTTTCAATTAAATATTATTATAACCAATTAATTGAAATACTTAATTTAATAGCCCCGGAGTCGATTTATAAAGATTATTTGAGTCACCAATGAGTTTTTTCGATTTAAAACCGGTTTAAACCCAAGCATCATTGAGCCACTAACATAATGCTATAGATCGATTTTTATATTCGAAGTAATTTTCGAGCGATTTTATTTTTATTTATTAACAAAAACGATTTTAATTGACTTAATTAAGTGTAAGTTAAGTGAGTATTAAGAAATTTTATAAATTTAAAAACGAATTAATGAGTTAATTTTTTAGTAATCCATAACATTTTTTATCTATATTCTTGGGATCAAATTAAATTGAGTTTTTTAATTAGTTTCTCATTATTTTTTAATAAAATGTATTAAAGCACTTACTTTGTTATCCCGAGAATCGATTTAGATGATATTTTGAATTCAACACGTTAATTTTCACCGATTTTTTATCGAATTTAAACCGCGTTTCACCAAAAAGTGTCAATTAATGATGCAATACAAACAAACCGTTGTTATCTAACTTACCGACGCGACTTGTCATTTGATTATTAACAAAGATGGATGTTTAATTTAGATTCTTATAAATTACACTTTTTCAATTAAATATTATTATAAACAATTAATTGAAATACTTAATTTAATAGCCCCGGAGTTGATTTATAAAGATTATTTGAGTCACCAATCAGTTTTTTCGATTTAAAATCGGTTTAAACCCAAGAATCATTGAGCCACTAACATAATACTATAGATCGATTTTTATATTTGAAGTAATTTTCGAGCGATTTTATTTTTATTTATTAACAAAAACGATTTTAATTCACTTAATTAAGTGTAAATTAAGTGAGTATTAAGAAATTTTATAAATTTAAAAACGAATTAATGAGTTAATTTTTTAGTAATCCATAAAATTTTATATCTATATTCTTGGGATCAAATTAAATTGAGTTTTTGAATTAGTTTCTCATTATTTTTTAATAAAATGTATTAAAACACTTACTTTGTTACCCCGAGGATCGATTTAGATGAAATTTTGAATTCACCACGTTAATTTTCACCAATTTTTTATCGAATTTAAACCGCGTTTCACCAAAAAGTGTCAATTAATGACGCAATACAAACAAACCGTTGTTATCTAACTTACCGACGCGACTTGCCATTTATTAACAAAGAAAATTTCAACCCGAAAAATCGTATTTTCATTTATTATTTGGATAATAAAATTATATCCGATTAGTTCGGGAATTAAGCGATAGATGGCGATTTTAAATCGAAATCGAACTTTTATACAATCACTCGGTACAATTTTGTCGTTAGTTGAGTTTCGAACCAACGCGGTTTTAAAATTTAACCCCGATTAGTTCGGGATTTGAATAAGAGATATCGCCGTAATTCAAATTTCCGATGCTTTAAGACACGATTATTAAAAAATTATACCGGGTGATTTAAGTAAATAAAAAATTTTGAAAAATTATTTTATCAAAAATTCATTTTGCTTTGTTTGAATCACTCTACACTAATTAATTAAACATTATGAAACATTAATGGTAGTTCTTAAAAAATAAATATGTTTTAAAAAAATTAGTGCCATCTATTATCGGGAAACTTTTTCAATTAAATCCATTTTATTTTCATTAATTTAATTTGTTACACATTTAATATATACAGGGAAAAACACTTATATAATAAATTGAACATTTAAATTTCGAAATTAATCTTACAAAATAACAAAATTCTTTTAAATAAACGTTAACAACTATACAGGGTGTACACGGATGGGGCTGCGTAGGATTTCGGTGAAGCACCGTAACCGTGAAGGGAATTATGTGAAAAAGAACTTAATCTTTGAGGAATACTAATCGGCTGCGCGAATTGACTTAGCCCATTTAAATGGGTCATATTTCCCGAATGTTGTCCGCTCATTAAACTCGATTGAAGCTCAATCGGACTACTCTCTCGACTATTCCATCCGACGCCGGTGGTTGTGTTTAAATTATTTAAATCGGTATTTGGTGATCCTTGATTACTATTACTACTACCACCTAAAACAAAAATTTTAATTAATTAAAATTAATAAATATAATAAGAAATTTGTATTAATTACCACTATGTGGCCCAATAACGCTATTATTTGAAGTTGGAGGTAAATTAGCGTTATAATTAGCAGACATTGAGACGGGAATTGGTGGTGAAGAACAAAGTTGGTCCCCTCGTGCTCCATAAACCATATTATTGGGGATATTAGGCATCGAATTCATCGCGTTCGCCAACGGGGGGTTCATATTTTGCCCGATTGGCATAAATCCATGGACGTTTCCGTTTGAATACATTGGAGGTGGGGAATAAGTTGGATGATTCACCGAGTACAAATCCATCACTAAAATTAAATTATTTCATTTCGAAATCGTGGAATTAATTAAAAATCTTACTTGAATTATTATTATGAGGGGGCGAATGCCCAAAATCAGGTTGATTCAACCCATACGGCGATGATGAAGCATTCGAATTTTGCACCGGGTAACCATTTCCGCTTAACGGGTACGAACCGGTGTTTGAAGCAACTTGTTTTCGCATCCTCGCCCTTCGATTACTAAACCAAACTTGAATCCGAGCCTCGCTTAAATTCGTTTTTTGGGCTAATTCTTCTCGCGTGTAAATATCGGGGTATTGGGTTTTATTGAAAGCTCGTTCTAATTCATCTAATTGTTGAGCGGTGAAGGTTGTGCGGGATCGGCGTTGTTTCCTTTTTAATTGGATCCCTGGTTCTGAGTCGCAATCGGAACCATTTCCGCCTTCTTCCGATAACTTTTCTATATAAAAAAAATGGGAAAAAAAATTAAGAAAAAAAAAAACTACAAATTTATTCACCCCATGATTTATGGGTTTCCCTAAAAAAGGGGGCGTTTTGACTTCACCCTTGAAATGTTATACTCTTGTCGGGGCTAAATTAGTTACCACCAAAAATTTTGGGCAAAAAAACAAAATTAATTATAGTTAAACCTCGATATAACGAATTAACACTGGAATGGGAGAAAATTGAGTCTCCTAATAAATTGGAATGTGCCAAAACGTTTTTCTTTCTTATTTGGTGTAATAAATGTGATGAGAAATGTGATGTAGTTCGAACTAAAGTGATGAGAAGTTCTGCTCATATAACCCTGAATTATAGAAGAGTGGAAGATAATCAAAACAATTTTTCTTCGATATTTATTATTTATAACTTATAGGAAATGTAAAAATTCAATGAAAATTGGTTTAGCAATCAAATGGAAAGTGCCCAAAGAATTTTTTTCATATTTGATGTATTAGAGATAATGAGAAATCTGCTACAATTCAAAATTAAATTGATTAAAGATTCTGCTCAACTCGAAATTTGCAAAAAAATCATGAAAAACTAGATTTGTAATGAAATTGGAAATGGCAGAAGTATTTTAATATTAGTTTTTCATGTTTTGGTCATCTTCAACTCTTCTAGAAACGAAGTTTTTTGAAATTCTTGCAAATTTTGACTAGAGAACTTTTGACTGTGTCAATTTGAGTTGCATTGCATTCGCAAATAAAATTATGTTTATCATTTCTTATTTCTTTGCGAATATTCTTAAATGTTTGCAAATTTTGGGTTGAGCAGAAACTTTAATCAGTTTAATTTGAGCTGTAGCAGATTTCTCGCGATGTCTAAAACACCAAATAATACAAACAATATTTCTGCCACTTCCTATTTCATTGCAAAACTAATTTTCCATGTTTTTTTGCAAATTTCTAGTTGAGCAGACTCTTTAATTAGTTTAGTTTGAATTGCATCAAATTCCTCATCATGTTTAATATACAAATATTGCACAAAAATACTTCTGCCACTTCCTATTTTATTACAAAACTAGTTTTCCATGATTTTTTTGCAAAATTCGGGTTAAGCAGAACGTTCAATGAGTTTAATTAGAGCTGTAGCAGATTCCTCATCACGTTTATAATGCAAATATTGTAAAAAAATACTTCTGTCATGTCGTATTTTATTACAAAACTAGTTTTCCATGATTTTTATCCAAATTTTCGGTTGAACAGAATCTTTAATCAATTTAATTTAAGCTGTAGCAGATTTCTCGCCAAGTCTAAAACACCAAATAATACAAACAGTATTTCTGCCACTTCCTATTTCATTGCAAAACTAGTTTTCCATGTTTTTTTGCAAATTTCTGATTGAGCAGACTCTTTAATTAGTTTAATTTGAATTGCATCAAATTCCTCATTATGTTTAATATACAAATATTGCACAAAAATACTTCTGCCATATCCTATTTTATTACAAAATTAGTTTTCCATAATTTTTTTGCAAAATTCGGGTTAAGCAGAACCTTTAATTATTTTTTTGAGCTGTAGCAGATTCCTCATCATGTTTATAATGGAAATATTGTAAAAAAATACTTCTGTCATATCGTATTTTATTACAAAACTAGTTTTTCATGATTTTATGCAAATTTTGGGTTGAACAGAGTCTTTAATCAATTTAATTTAAGCTGTAGCAAATTTCTCGCCATGTCTAAAACACCAAATAATACAAACAATATTTCTGCCACTTCCTATTTCATTGCAAAACTAATTTTTCATGTTTTTTTGTAAATTTCTGGTTAAACAGAACATTTAATGAGTTTAATTTGAGCTGTAGCAGATTCCTCATCATGTTTATAATGCAAATATTGTAAAAAAATAATTCTGTCATATCGTATTTTATTACAAAACTAGTTTTCCATGATTTTATGCAAATTTTTGGTTGAGCAGACTCTTTAATTAGTTTAATTTGAATTGCATCAAATTCCTAATCATGTTTAATATACAAATATTGCACAAAAATATTTCTGCCACTTCCTACTTCATTACAAAACTAGTTTTTCATGATTTTTTTGCAAAATTCTGGTTAAGCAGAACCTTTAATTATTTTAATTTGAGCTGTAGCAGATTCCTCATCATGTTTATAATGTAAATATTGTAAAAAAATACTTCTGTCATATCGTATTTTATTATAAAACTAGTTTTTCATGATTTTATGCAAATTTTGGGTTGAACAGAGTCTTTAATCAATTTAATTTAAGCTGTAGCAAATTTCTCGCCATGTCTAAAACACCAAACAATACAAACAATATTTCTGCCACTTCCTATTTCATTGCAAAACTAATTTTTCATGTTTTTTTGTAAATTTCTGGTTGAGCAGGCTCTTTAATTAGTTTAATTTAAATTGCATCAAACTCCTCATCATGTTTAATATACAAATATTACACAAAAATACTTCTGCCATATCCTATTTTATTACAAAACTAGTTTTCCATGATTTTTTTGCAAAATTCGGGTTAAGCAGAACCTTTAATTAGTTTAATTTGAACTGTAGCAGATTCCTGATCAGGTTTATAATGCAAATATTGCATGAAAATATTTCTGCCATTTCCTATTTTATCACAAAACTAGTTTTCCATGATTTTTTTGCAAAATTCTGGTTGAGCAGACTCTTTAATTAGTTTAATTTGAATTGCATCAAATTCCTCATCGTGTTTAATATACAAATATTGCACAAAAATACTTCTGCCATTTCCTATTTTATCACAAAACTAGTTTTCCATGATTTTTTTGCAAAATTTATGTTAAGCAGAATCTTCAACGAGTTTAATTGGAGCTGTAGCAGATTCCTCATCATGTTTATAATGCAAATATTGTAAGAAAATATTTCTGTCATGTCGTATTTTATTATAAACTAGTTTTCCATGATTTTTATCCAAATTTTTGGTTGAACAGAGTCTTTAATCAATTTAATTTAAGCTGTAGCAAATTTCTCGCGATGTCTAAAACACCAAATAATACAAACAATATATCTGCCACTTCCTATTTCATTGCAAAACTAATTTTCCATGTTTTTTTGCAAATTTCTGGTTGAACAGACTCTTTAATTAGTTTAATTTGAATTGCATCAAATTCCTCATCATGTTTAATAAACAAATATTGCACAAAAATACTTCTGCCATTTCCTATTTCATTACAAACTTAATTTTCGACAATTTTTTTGCAAATTTAGGGTTGAGCAGAATTTCTGATCAATTTGATTTAACCTCGTTGCATATAGCAACAAATATAGAAAAAAAACTAACTTTAACTTTTCTCAATTAAACCCGTATATTTCTAGTTCTATGTCTAGTGTTAGTTCCAGATTTAGTTCAACAGATATATACAACCCAACGTTATCTAGTGCTAAGTAGCTCTACTTACTTTTGTCAACAGAACTAACACTAAATCTAGAACTAGAAACATTCGGGTTTAGCCACACGTCTCTTAAACCAAAATGTTGAAAACCTAAAATTAGGTTTTTTTGAAATTCTTGCAAATTTTGTAAAAAACCACAAATTGGCAAAAGTTGTTTGTTTCTATATTTAGTGCTATTAAATTGATCAGAAATTTTGTTCAACTCATAATTAGCAAAAATTGAAGAAAATCCGGATTAGATATGATGGGAAATGCAATGCAGTTCCAACTAAAGTGATCAGAAATTCTGCTCATATGGAAATATGCAAGAATTTCAGAAAATCCTTGATTATAAAAAAATGGAACATAACCAAAACACTTTTTGTTCCATATTTACTATTTATAAGTGACTACAGAGGAATACTACTACAGAGGAATACCTACTACTGAGGAATACAATGTAATGCAAACAGAATTGGTCAGAAGTTCTGTTTAACTAAAAACATGCAAAAATTTAATGAAAATTTGTTTTGCAATCAAATGGAAGAATTTGTTTCATATTTGATGAATTAGAGTTAATGCGAAATCTGTTACAATTCAAAATTAAATTCATTAAAATCATGAAAAACTAGTTTTGTAATGAAATTGGAAACGGCAGATTTTTTTTTGTACTATTTGATGTTTTAGACATAGTGAGAAATGTGCTGCAGTTCAAATTAAACTGATTAAAAATCTTGCTCAACACGAAATTTGCAAAAAATTATGGCAAACTAGTTTTGAAATGAAATAGGAAATGGCAGAAGTATATTTTTTGCAATATTTACATTATAAACGTGATGAGGAATCTGCTGCAGTTCAAATTAAACTGATCAAAGAGTCTGAAATCATGGAAAACTAGTTTTCTAATGAAATAAGAAATGTCAGAAGAATTTGTTCGCAATATTTGCATTATAAACATGATGAGACTGATTAAAGATTCTGCTCAACCCGAATTTTGAAAAAAAAAATGAAAAACTAGATTTGTAACAAAATAGGAAATGGCAGAAGTGTTTTTTGCAATGTTTGTGCTATAAATATGATGAGAAATCTGCTGCAGCTCAAATTAAACTGATTAAAGATTTTGCTCAATCCGAATTTTACAAAAAATCATGAAAAACTAGTTTTGTAATAAAATAAGAAAAGGCAGAAGAATTTTTTGCAATATTTGCATTGTAAAGATGATGAAGAATCTGCTGCAGTTTAAATTAAGCTGATTAAAGGTTCCGCTCAACCCGAATTTTGCAAAAAAATCATAGAAAACTAGTTTTGTAATAAAATAGGAATTGGCAGAAGTATTTTTTTGCAATATTTGCATCATAAACATGATGAGGAATCTGCTGTAGTTCAAATTAAACTGATTAAAGACTCTGTTCAACCCGCAATTTGCATAAAAATCATGAAAAACTAGTTTCGTAATGAAATAGAAAATGGCAGAAGTATTTTTTTACAATATTTGCATTGTAAAGATGATGAAGAATCTGCTGCTGTTTAAATTAGATTGATTAAAGATTCTGCTCAGTCTGAATTTTGCAAAAAATCATGAAAAACTAGT